ACAACTTTGAGAGAAGGAGTGATATTGTCCAAAAAGAAATGTACTTATTACCTGACTTATAACAACAACAAACACAACCAAAGGCCTGGCACATGCGGCTCACACCTGTAATCCTAGCTACTCAGGAGGCTGAGATCTGAGGATCGGGGTTTGAAGCCAGCCCATACAGAAAAGTCCATGAGAGGGGCTGGGAAGGTAGCTCAGTGGTAGAGCGCTTGCCTTGCATGCCTGAGGCCCTGGGTTCGATTCCTCAGCACCACATAAGCAAAAAGAAAAAAAAGCCGGAAGTGGCGCTGCGGCTCAAGTGGTAGAGCGCTAGCCTTGAGCTGAAGAGCTGAGGGACCATTCGCAGGCCCAGAGTTCAGGCCCCACGACTGGACCCCCCTCAAAAAAAAAAAAAAGAAAAAGAAAAGTCCATGAGACTCTTATCTCCGATAAACTACTCAGGAAAGACCAGAAGTGGTGCTGTGGCTCAAATGGTAGAGCACTAGCCTTGAGCAAACGAAGCTCTGAGGTCAAATCCCAGGACTGGCAATAAATAAAATAAAAGCTGGGCACTGGTGGTTCATGCCTGTAATCTTAGCTACTCAGGAGGCTGAGATCTGAGGATCACGGTTTAAAGCCAGCCTAGGCAGGAAAGACCATGAGACTCTTATCTCCAATAAACCACCAGAAAACTGGAAGTGGCGCTGTAGCTCAAGTGGTAGAGCGCTTGCCTTGAGCTGAAGAGCTGAGGGACAGTGCCCAGGCCCAGAATTCAAGCCCCACACTGACAAAAATAATAAATAAATAAATATATATATATTTAAAAAATAAAAAAGCAGAACTTCTATCACTTGCATCACTTCGCTAGGAAGGGGACCTGGCCGCATGTATGATTACAGACTCAATTCTGCGTGGTAGCAATGATGACAAAGATATTTGGGAAAAGATGAAAATAAATTTCTTTCTGTGAACAAGAAAAAAAAGGATATTTGTGGGGCTGGGAAGGTGGCTCAGTGGTAGAGCACTTGCCTTGCATGCAAGAGGCCTTGGGTTCTATTCCTCAGTACCACATAAGCAAAAAGAAAAAAGCTGGAAGTGGCACTGTGGCTCAAAGTGGTAGAGCGCTAGCCTTGAGCTGAAGAGCTGAGGGACAACGCCCAGGCCCAGGGTTCAGGCCCCACGACCGGACCCCCCAAAAAAAAGAAAAGAAAAAAAAGGATATTTGTATCCCATATGAATGCTCAACAAAGAGTGATCTGGGCAGAGTTAAATTCTAATCAAGTGGCTAGCATGACTTGTTCTGTTGATAACAGAACCCATCCCTATCATATCCCCAAAGACCCATGAACAAAGAGGCCGTGGAATGCTGAGTGACAATGGCTCACACCTATAATCCTAGCTACTCAGAAGGCTGAGATCTAAGGATCATAGTTGTAAGCCAGTCTGGACAGGAAAGTCTGTGAGCCTGTTATCTCTAATCAACCAGCAAAAAGCCAGAAGTGGAGGTGTGGGTCAAATGGTAGAGCCAGACTTGAGTGATAAAGCTAAGGGACAGTGCCCAGACCCTGAGTTCAAGCCCCAGAACTGGCACAATAAAGAAAGAATGAAAGAAAGAGAAAAATGTAATATATATATTCATCACAATGTCAAACATGTTGTAGCTCCTTAATACATATTTCAAAATAATAATAGTTTGCTGATCAATTAATGTATCCTAACTAGCTAAATCCCAGTAGGGACAATGTCTTTAAGTAGTCTGTTACACTGCAGAAGTAGAGAGAGTAGTGATTTTCACAGGCCGAAGGATAATGGCAATTTCTTTACAGGAAGCCAAATGAGTCTCTTTGGATTTCTTCTCGTAACAAATGACCACTAGAATCATGATTCTGGAGTCATTTCTGTCACAAATCCTCTCTTTCCACACCACTTTAAAAGGCAGCTGTAAGATCTGGCTTCTAATCAAGGCCTACCGCACCAACAATTCTCTAAATTTTATTTATATTTCATGCGCAGTATGTTTGAACTTTCACTTTCTCAGGTGCCAGATGCTGGTTTGGATACACTCCAGTAGAAAGTGCTTTCCTGTAATGAATGAAAGCAAAACACAGAACAAACCACCTCTTTATATCACACTTGGACTCAGTGTACTAAAGCTAAGTACTCCAGTAATGACTATTACCCCCAATTCCCAGTCTCCCCCCCCATTCTCTCGTCATTACTTCCTTCGTGTAGGATATAAATGTTTACAGTCCCTTCTGATTTCATTTCTTTTAGTGTTCATTTGAAAATGCCTCTGCTTTAAAATTCTCTTTTTTCTTTTTGGTGCCAGTCCTGGGGTTTGAACTCAAAGTCTAGGCATGTCCCTGAGGTTTTTTTGCTCAAAGCTAGTACTCTACCATAGGAGCTTACTTTGGGCATGTGTGTGTGTGTGTGTGTGTGTGTGTGTGTGTGTGTGTGTGTGTGTGTGTATGTGTACGCACAAGTGTAGCAGTTAATTGAAGATAAGAGTCTCAAGGACTCTTCCTGCCCCAGCTGGCTTTGAATTGTGAACCTCAGATCTCAGCCTCCTGAGTAACTAGGATTCTAGGCATGAGTCACCAGCACCAGGCTATTGTCTGAGGTGTTTTTTGTTTTTTGCCAGTCCTGAGGTTTAAACTCAGGGTCTGAGCACTGTCTCTTGAGCCTCTTTTGCTCAAGGCTAGCACTTTACCACTTGAGCCACAGCACCAGCTTTTTCTGTTTATGTGATATCAAGGAATCAAACCTAGGGCTTCATGCATGCTAGACAAGCACTCTACCATTAAGTCACATTCCCAGTCCCTGTCTGAGCTTTTAATCATGTCTAGCGCACATACCTACCCAGGTGTATTTCAGATATGATCTAGGCTAGTTACTGGTAGCTCATGCCTGTAATCCTGGCTACTCAGGAGTCTGAGTTCTGAGGATCACAGTCCAAAGCCAGCCTAGGCAGGAAAGTTGTGAAACTCTTATCTTCAATAAACTGCTCAGAAAATCCAGAAGTGATGCTATGGCTCAGGTGAGAAAGCACTAGCCTTGAGCACAGAGACAGGGTCTGACACAGAGCCCAGACCCAGGACTGGCAATGCACACATGAGCAAATGTGTGTGCGCGCGTGTGCACACACACACACAATCATATATGATCTGGATGAGAAGAAACAGAATTTTAGCCTATTTACAAGATCTTAAAAACTTAATATATGGTCTATTGATACATTTAAAACATTTTCACTAAATATTAATGGTTGAGGGTAACAATCTTTGTTGTTGTTGTTGGGCTTGAACTTCTTTTGCTCAAGGTTAGCATTCTACCACTGAGCCACAGGACCACTCCCAGCTTTCTGGCGGTTAATTGGAGATGAGAGTCTCACAGACTTTCCTGCCCTGGCTCGCTTTGAATCAAGAGTAGCTAAGATTACAGGTGTGAGCCACCAGTGCCCAGCCTGGGGGGTTCTTCTTTAATTTTCTCATGACACTGGCAGTTTAATTAGGGCCTGGTATTTGAAGTTTATATTTGCATTACAAGTTCATGGTTATGTTCCAAAACTTAAATGATTTCCTACATTACATTTTATGGTGTGTGTGTGTGTGTGCGTGTGTGTGTGTGTGTGTGTGTGTGTAGGGACCTCTATAAACGACAAAAGTATTCTGCTTGGTCCCTAAACTTTCCTATCTTTTCACACCTCTGGCTCCGATAGAAACTTTTTAAATTTTTTCACTCCTTCCATTAGATGGCGCTAGTTACTCAAGAAATAACTTACAAAGCTCTGGTGGGCTAAAGAGCAAGAGGTTTCTCTTTATCTTCATTTCTTACCTTCTCCCTCTCTCCCTCCCTCTCTTCCTCCCTCCCTCTCTGTCTGTCTGTCTCTGCCTCCGTCTCTGTCTATCTCTGCCTGTCTGTCTGTCTCTCTTTCTTCTTTCCCAGTCATGGGTTGTTGGTAGCTAAGCTGATTCACACCTATGATCTCCCCTTTGTAGACCTGGTATACTTTCTGTAGTGTGTGTAAGTAGGGTTGGGAGGAAGGCCAGAAACTTGCCCCCTTTAAACCTCGGTTCTCCCTAAGCACTGGGGAGCATCTTGCTAGCTGGATGGGTAGGGAAAAAGAAATCCTTAGAACTTTTCTCAACTATCAACCGAGTTGAGATAAGCTATGAGTCAGGAAAGCAGCCAGAACGAGGGGGGGGGGGGGGCGAGGTCCTTGCTGGGCCATACTCAAGTTGTTCATACAGGTATGGCTACAGTGACCTGTGGACTAAAAACCTACACTGTGATCAACCCACAAGTATCTATGAGTTCTCTCTTGTGCTTAGCACCCTATCCGCAGCTGCGTAAGAAATAAACGAAGTGGAGTCCTCCAGGCGATTTACAGCGCAAAACATGTACAAAGAAACGATTGCTGAGACAAGACCTAGCCCGATGAAGTGACATTGTGTGGTGAAGACACTAAACTCGTAGAAAAAGGTCCCTGGGGTTGGAAGCGACCCAGGGGTTGTGCTTAGTGTAGGGAGAATAGAGAAGGAGATGAAGTGGTAAGAAGGGGTATAGACGGTGTGATGGTGGGTGGGATTTCTTTGGAGACGTCTAGAAGGAATTTACAATGGGAAGGGGGAAGAGGAAAGGGTGCAGGCGTGGGTCAGCCTCAGAAAGCGCCGGCTCAGCGACTACCTGTCCGGCCTTCACCTAGTCCTGGGCATTCTGGTTAGGGCGAAACTATTTGGGTCATGTTTCTTTTGTGGCCGGGTACTGCAGGGCCCGGGCTCCGGGGCAGCAGCTGCAGCAGACCTGGCTGGGCGGCCCAAGGGGCCCGGAGGCCAGCCGCGAAGGGGGCGTGGCGAGGGCGGCGGGAGGGGGCGTGGCGAGGGCGGCGGGAGGGGGCGTGGCGCAGGGGGCGTGATTGGAAGGGGCGTGGCGAGTGGGCGTGGCTCTGCTTTCCCCAGCGCCCGCGCCGCCGCTTGCCGCTTGCCGCCGCCGCCGCCGCCGCCCGCCTCCACCGTTGCCTCCGCCCGCCGCGCGGACCTGCGAGCCGGTTAGCAGCCGCCCGTCCGCCCGCCCGCCCGCCCGCTTGCCCGGGGCTGCGGTGGGCCAGGATGTCGGGCTTCCTGGAGGAGCTGCTCGGCGAGAAGCTGGTGACGGGCGGCGGCGAGGAGGTGGACGTGCACTCGCTGAGCGCCCGCGGCATCTCGCTGCTCGGGCTCTACTTCGGCTGCAGCCTGAGCGCCCCCTGCGCGCAGCTCAGCGCCAGCCTGGCCGCCTTCTACGGCCGCCTGCGGGGGGACGCGGCGGTGGCGGTGGCGGCGGCGGCGGCGGCGGCGGCGGCGGTGGCGGCGACGGCCGGGCCAGGGACCGCGGCCGGGTCGGAGCCGGGGGCCGGGGCGGCCGAGGAGTCCGAGCCGCGGCGCCGTCTGGAGATCGTCTTCGTATCTTCGGACCAGGACCAGCAGCAGTGGCAGGACTTCGTGCGGGACATGCCGTGGCTGGCGCTTCCCTACAAGGAGAAGCACCGGAAGGTGAGCGGCGCGGGCCTGCCGCGCTCCGGGGCCCGGGGTGGGGGGGTGGGGGGGGCAAGCTCCCCGGGGCCGGGTCCTCGCCGCCTCTCCCGGCCCCCGTGGTCCCCAGGCCCACCTTCTCCATCTTGGTCAGGAGCCCGCCCGCTTGCGCTCCGCTCTGCGTCCGCACCCCCATCCCGGGACCCCCATCGAGTTGGGGGTGCCTGCTGCAACTCCGGGGTGCCGGTGCCAGGCTACCGCTCGCGCTGGTAACTTGGAACTCTCTTTGGGTCCCCGGGTCCTGTTTGAACCGGGACTCTTCCGTCCCACGTTAGTAGCTTTGCGTAGCCGTGGACTCTTCTTTGGGGTCCCTAACTAGAAGTTCGGGGGTGGGGGGGTGTCTTTTCCTTCAATCACTCGACTCCAGCGAACACTGGGAGAGGGCGCCAGCCCCCTAGGCCCCAGCCAGGAAGTTTGCTTTCTTCCATAGAGAAATCTGCTTTCCTGGGGTCCCCTCTCCTGTGCCTTAAGGACTCCGGGGGGACCGAGTTCGAGGTTAGGCCGCCCCTCGGCCCCGCTCGATGGAGGCGGCTGCTGACCATAGGTTTGGGCGAGAAAAGAGCTCAGTCCCTCTCCCCATTCTTCCTCCTTTGCCCCCTCCTTGCCGCCCCCCCCCCCCCCAGTGGCTGAATTATTAGCCACCCCGGAGCTTTTCATTGTCTGGCTGTCCAGCTATCCTCCCAAGCCCAGGAACTCACAGCCCCGTCGTCCTGGTCCATCCCTTCGTTTCTCAGTGAGCAACTGTTGTCCTGGCCATCCCCTAGGCTTAAATGGAAGACTGAGCCACACGTGCAGATTGCCCAGAACAAGGAGGACTTGGGGGAAAGTCCCACTTCGCTGTCCACTTCTCATTCCTACCAGTTCTCTTGGTGAAATTAGTTTGGGTTTCCGAGTGTGTATGTTGTTGGAGAAAGATGTCTGTCTTAATAAATCAAATTCACGGCTTTTGGTAATGAGTGGTAACAGATAAAAAAGTTTTGCAGTGCTCTCGCTTAGTGTGTTTGTGCAACGTGTCAAGCCATCCCCCTTCCCTTTCTGAGGAGAAAAGCTAATCTGGGGACACTTAGGTCCCCCTAGGGAGATGGTAACATTGGCCATGTGTTTCTTTCATGTGTAAAGAATCTTGAGAAGTATGATTTAGATTTAGTGAGAGCAAAAAGCTTATACTGTGACCCCAAATGTCTCCAGTAAATCATCCATCCCAAAGCAGTGTTAAGGTTCAGACATGAGATTTCGAAGTATGAAATACAGTCTTAACAAATACAGTTTGTAAATCTAAAATCGCCAAGACACGGGCTTACTAACCACACCGAAGCAAGTCTTTGAGTTCTAACTGCTCTCTGGGTTATTTTGCCTGTGTTTGCCTTATATACTGTACAGGATATGAATATTCATGGCTGATACTTTTTGCTTAAAAGTATGGAAATTCTTTGTTTTCCTTGGTGGTTGTTTTTACCGTTTTTTTTTTGGGAGGGGAAGAAATAATGTTCAGAAAGAGATTTATCAAAAAATAGTTTCAAATTTATGGCAGGTTTTTGTTATAGCCCAAAGTTGGTTTAAAATAATATCCTATTGGACAACACAAATGATTACTAGCTTTTGAAAACCTGTAAGACTTAAGTTCTATTGTGTGTTTTTTGTCTTTTGTGTTTTTTGCAGAAGGGGAAATAAAAGTACTGGTTAGTAAAAATATGGAGATGTTTTGGAAATGCTTAAAGCTTTTTCCAAAAAAGGAATGTGTTTGCTGTGACAGGGGCCATGCCTCATTCTCTCTACCTTGGCTAGTCCTTTGGCATGAAAAAAAAAATGTTATGTAGGCCTGGTCCTTGGCCTGCTGATTCCACCAGTGCAGGCTCTCATTTGAAAATAGAGCTCAGAATGCTAAACACATTAAATAAACCATGATGTCTTTTTAGTAGAGCTCTGGCTCAAGTGGTAGAGCTGTTAACCTTGAGAGGAAAAGGTAAGGGACAGCACCCAGGCCTGGAGTGTAAGCTCCAGTACTGGCACACACAAAATACATTTTTTTCTTGTGGTGTTAGGGATTGAATCTAGGGATCTTGTTCATGCTAAGCATGTGTTGTACTACTGAACCACTTGGCTCAAAGTTTTGTTTTTGACATGTCTAAAAAGCCTGGGTTTGGGAAGTGGCGCTGTGTCTCAAGTGGTAGAACACTAGCCTTGAGCTTTAGAGCTCAGGGACAGCACCCAGGCCCAGAGTTCAGGCCCCATGACCGACCAAAAAAAAAAAAAAAGAAAAAGAAAAAGAATGGCTGGGAAGGTGGCTCAGTGGTAGAATGCTTGCCTTGCATGCATGATGCATGATTCCTCAGCACCACATAAGCAGAAAAAGGCAGAAGTGATGCTGTGGCTCAAGTGGTAGAGCACTAGCCTTGAGCTGAAATGCTGAAGGACAGTGCCCAGGCCCAGAGTTCAGGCCCCACCACCACCAAAATAAAAATAAAAAGACTGGGTTTGAAGGAGGCTTGTGCCCTGTGATGTTAGGTAATAGGCCACTGAGAAGCATTATTTTTTTTTTAAGTTTTTTTTTGGTTGGTCTTGGGGCTTGAATTCAGGGCTGGGGCACTGTCCCTGAGCTCTTTTTGCTCAAGGCTAGTGGTGCTTTACCACTTTGAGCCACAGATCCACCTCTAGTTTTTTTAAGTGGTTAACTGGAGATAAGAGTCTTACCGGGACTTTTCTGCTTGGGCTGGCTTTAAACCATGATCCTTAGATCTCAACCCTCCAGAGTAGCTAGGATTATAGAAGCATTCTTTTTTTTTTTTTTTTTATTGTAAAGCTACTATACAGAGGGTTACAGTTACATGAGTGAGGTTATGAGTACACTTCCTCTTGAACATTGTTACCCCCTCCATTGTTTTCCCCCTACCATCCCCTCCCTCCCTCCAGAAGCATTCTTATTTGTGGTGAAATACACTGGGGACAGGGGATCCAGCTGTTTTTCTGGTGGGATCATACTATTGGAAATGACAAAAGCTATATACTCAATTTGATTTCATGTGTGTATGTGTGTGTGTGTATGTGTGTGTGTGTGTGTGTGTGTGTGTGTGTGTGTGTGTGTGTGGTGGTGGTGCAGGTGCTTTTCCACTTGAGTCACATTCTCCAGCCCAAAAATCATATACTCACTTTGAAAGGAATTATTTTCCCTCTTGAAACCAAAGAGGTGTACAACTGACTTTTGTTTGTTTCTTTCACTTTGAAATCGGGGTGTATAGAAGTCTGTGGTATTGTGACGTTAATTTCACCTTAAGAATGGTTTAAAAAAAAAAAAAAAAAGCCAGGGCACCCCCAGTTCTTGGCACTGGATGCTGAACACTTAACTTTTTGTTGTTGGACTCTCTCCACGCCATTTTGCCAGCCATAAAAATAGCTTTAGAGAAGGGAATTTTGTTTTACAGTGAAGGGAAACCAAAGTTCCAGATTACATTTTTTTTTTTTTTAAAAAAAGTTCTTATTAACATTTGTTCTCTAAAACCATTTGTATATGTCTTCCCATTGGGATAACAAAGGATATGGTTCTAATTAGTTATTGGCTGGCATTTCTCTAAGAAAATTGAAAAATTATGGTAGAGAAAGAAAATGCTGTGTGGTATTTCTTTCTCTTTTTTTTCTCTTTTATTAATTTCTCCTTTATATAGTAAGAAAAGTCTGGGGATGACCATATATGTTCATTCTACATGTTTCCTGGCTCCTTTACCTCTCCTGGAAATGTGAGAAAACCCTAAGTAGAGGGATTCCAGCCTTTTTTTTTCCCTTGTAATTTGCTGTGGAAAGGTTGTCCTGTTTCTGCTTGTCTTAGTGGTAGGTACAAGAGTAATTGATGCTTTTTTTCTCCCTTTTGCTTCCAGAACACACACATCATTATATCACTGTATAGAAATTATAATTAGATGATAATAGAACTTGAGTGCATTTATGAGAGCAGTTTTGTTAGGAAACCTATAATCTTGAATTTAAGGCAGTTAGGTTTGTTGGTAGATGTTATTCCGATTTCTGAATAGAGTGAATGTGATGAATAGTTGGCAATTGGTGATGATTTGAACTTTGGGGATTTGGCCAGTTCCTTTCAATGAGTATTAAGTTATTCTGTTGTCACAACTGGAGGACTCATCTCCAGAATCAACGTAGGAATCACTGATGTGAACAGCAGTTTTGGTTTGAAAGCCATGGGATCTAGCTTTGTTCCACTGGGTGTCTGATGGAAACACTTGGTAATTTGGGGTGTGCAGATTATTGAGTTCTGCTGTAGTCCTAGAATTTCCTACATAGCAAAAAGGGGAAGAGGAAGTTGGGGTGGGAGGACAGCAGAGTCCAGTCTCCGACCCAGATCTGGGTTTACTTGCTTTGGACAGAGCAGCGGGAGCCCTTCTATAGCTACCTTGTGTGGGCTACTTGTGCTGGCTGCCATGGATGGATATAAAGTGAATATATAATACTATTGTCTTTTAAAGTTGTGGGAGATAATGGATAGTAACTGAGCTCTGGGTTTTTATTTGCCAGTGAAACGAGGCTGCTGATCACTGAAACCTAGACTTGGTCAAGGGCAACAATTTAAAGATGACCAGGCACCCTACCTGAGGGAAATTATGGGCTTTGGTGGCTTCCCAAATATGTTAGACATGTCTTCCACTGTCCCTGGTTACTCAGTTTGGTCAGTATGGAAGGTGAAGGGCCATCCCTCGCCCCCTCTTTTTTGGCAGTGCTGCAATTTGAAATCAAGGCTTCACAAGTGTTCAACTACTTGGGCCAGACCTCCAACCCTTTTTGCTCTGGTTTTTGGGATAGGAGGTAGTCACTTGCTTTTTCACCAGACTGGACTGAAAGATATTGATACTGCTGTAGATGACAGTTGTGTACCACCATGCCCAACTATTGTTTGAGATGGGGAGCCTCACAAACTTTTTTTTTGGGTCCGGTCGTGGGGTCCGAACTCTGGGCCT